AAGTAAGCTCCTCTTTTATATAGGCGGATAATTCTTACTTCTCTTTTACTAGTACTTATAATTAAGGCTTTAGAGCCTATCTTTACTTTAGAGCTACTCTTTTTCCTTTAGGCCTAAGGGGGCGGAGTTATTATAGGACACCCTATAGTCGATAATCTAGGTACCTATAACGATATCGGCCTTCCCTAGGGAAGTTACCCCTAACTCCCTAAGGCTCCCCGCGGAAGAAGGAACCTAGAAGCTACTAGGCAAACTCTAGGAAATCACCTAGAAATCCTAGAAACAATAACCGAGCGGATTATATAGACGTTTTACTAAGATTTCCCCTAGGGATATATTACACGGGGAATATACTATAATTTCCCGAGTAATAATAGCTCCTTAGGGATTATACCGATATTTCCCTAAGAAGTTACTATAAGAATATAGCGGGGAAATTATAGAGAAATACCTATGCCTACTTAGGGAAAATACTAGGAAATACCGCTAATACGCCGTACTACCGTCGTACGATTATAAGGTTAAGATATTACTTAGTTAAAACCCTAAGTAAGGTCTTACGCTCGCTATAGTATATATAGAAGATAGAGAACCCGCTAGATCTTAGGCGGGCAAAGAAGAATATAGATAGTTATTACTACTCTTACTTTAACTTATAAGACTAGTAGCTAGTCCGTATTTAACGCGCGTAATAATATATAGTAGCTAGTCTATATAATACGTTTAATTACGTACGGTAGCTAGTCCGTTTAATTACCTATTAGACCTATACTAGATCTAGGCAAACGGTAAGGTTAACGTACTAGCCCCGTACTAAGGGACTAGTATATAATAGGAGTCCTCCTTATTATCTAAGGTAAGGAGCGGTTCTATCTTCGCTACTTAAACCGCTATAGGCCGTTTAGCTAAAAGGAAGGGGCATTTTAATATAAAGTATATAAACGCGCCGTAATATAGGTAGCGGCTATTAGCCTTCCTCTTTTTAATTTCCTCGCTCGTTACTTACTTCGCCTACTACTTAGAGTATAAGGCGGTATAAGGGGTAGTCGATAGCGTTTTCTTACTACGTTTAGCCTAGTCTATATAGGTAGCTAATATTAAGGTATCCCTATTTATATTAATAGCTAGTTATTTATCTTATAAAGGGGTAGTAATCTTATCGCCGCTATATAGTATACGCTTATAAAGCTTTTAAAAACATAGCGTTTACTTATAGCCCTATACTACTTTTATTAACTAGCTTATATACTTACTATAGTTAGTAGGTATAATTATATAGATAAGTAGCTCCTATAAAGCTAGCGTAATCGAATTTTATAGCTATATAAGCTTTACGCTATCTTCTTATACTATAGTCCTTATTACCTATAAGAGCGTCTCTTTAAAATCGGGGAGGAATTCGCTAAAGGTTTATCTATCTCTTTACTTAAGGGTCTATAGCCTATCTTACGCCTTCTCCCGCTCCTATACGTTGCTAAATATATATATAAGGTATTAAAAGAAGTCTTATAGGTCGCGTTTACCCTTAGGGCCGCCCTTATCTTAGAATCTAGAGATCTACTATATCTAGGGCTCCGGTAGTATATAAAGGAGTAAATACTACGCTATATCGTAATAGCTATTTAGGCCCTATTTCTCGTTAGTTATAAACTTTGTTTATAGCCGGCTAAGGAAGAAGTAAAAAGACTTTAGCTTACTATCCTAAGTTAGCTAAAAGAGCGGCTTCTATATTAGTAGTATCGCCGCTATAACTAGCGTTACGGAGGTCGTAGGGGTTAGAGCTAGTCTCGTAGACGGCTCCCTTAGTATAGCGAGAACCTCGTCCTTCTTACTAGCCGTCGCGCTTTTAATCGCTTCTAGGATAGCTATAATACTTTATATCTACTTAAGGGGTAGTAGGGTGCTCTCTTAAAGAAGCGGCACCCTTTTTAGGGAGATATCTATTAAGTCTATTAGTTAATAGCTTATACTATTATAGAGTAAGTAAAGGCATATATATAGGTACCGTTTATAGGATAATATTAATAAGCTATACCGAGCTTTTTTATATATAGCTAGCCTATATATATTTATATAGGATCCGACCCTTTATATATAACTATATAGCTTAGGCTATAGCCTAAGCCTATAACTTATAATAGTTAAAGACTCTTATAATAGTAACCGTTAACCTTTATAGCTAGCTATATAATACCCTTAATTACTATACTTTCTATTATACTTAAGGCGCCTTTTACTTACCTTAGGGCGATCTTTTTTATTAGTAATTATATCTCTTATATAAGCGCCTCGTTAACTATAGTATAGTACTAGTAGCCTTTATTTATAAGGGCGGCGATAGGTAAGGAGTTATTAATTATAACTTATATTAAAGTAAGCTCTTCTTTTATATAAGTAGATAATTCCTTTTTTTACTTTAATAGTATTAGTAATTAAAGCTTTAGAGCCTATCTTTATTTTAGAGCTACTCTTTTTCCTCTAGGCCTAGGGGCGTAGAGTCCTCTTCGTCGTTTAAGGTAAGAAGCGGTTCTATCTTCGCTACCTAAACTACTATAGGCCGCTTAGCTAAAAGGAAGGGGTATTTTAATATAAAGTATATAGATATACCGTAATATAGGTAGCGGCCGTTAGCTTTTTTTTTCCTAATTTTATCGCTTATTACCTACTTCGCTTATTACTTAAAGTATAAGATAGTATAAGGGATATTTAATAATAACTTCCTACTACGTTTAGCTTAGTCTATATAGGTAGCTAATATTAAGGTATCCTTATTAGTATCGATAGTTAGCTATTCCTCTTATAAAAAGGCGGTAATCCTATTACCGCTATATAGCGTACGCTTATAAAGCTTTTAGAAATATAGTATCTACTTATAGCCCTATACTACCTTTATTAACTAGCTTATATACTCGCTATAATTAATAAGTATAATTATAGGGATAAGTAGCTCTTATAAAGCTAGTATAATTAAGTTCTATAACTATATAAGCTTCGCGCTATCTTCTTATACTATAGTTCCCGCTACCTATAAGAGCGTCTTTTTAAAGTTAAGGAGGAATTCGCTAAAGGTCTACCCGTCCCTTTACTTAAGGGTCTATAGCTTATCCTATGCCTTCTCCCGCTCCTATACGTTGCCGAACGTATATATAAGGTATTAAAAGAAGTCCTATAGGTCGCGTCTACTTTTAGGGCCGCCCTTATCTTAGAATCTAAAGATCCGCTATATCTAAGGCTCTAGTAGTATATAGAGAAGTAAATACTATACTATATTATAATAGCTATTTAGGCCCTATTTCTTATTTATTATAAACTTCGTCTATAGCTAGCTAAGGAAGAAGTAAAAGGACTTAGGCTTACTATCTTAAGTCGGCTAAGGAAGCGGCTTCTATATTAGTAGTACCGCCGCTATAACCGGTATTATAGAGGTTATAAGGGTTAACGCTAGTCTCGTAAACGGCTCTCTTAGTATAGTAAGAACCTTATTCTTCTTACTAGCCGTCGCGCTTTTAATTGCTTTTAAGATAGCTACGATACTTCCTATCTACCTAGGGGGTAGCGGGTTACTCTTTTAAAAAGGCAGCACCCTTTTTAAGGAGATATTTATTAGATCTATTAGTTAATAGCTTATATTATTATAGAGTAAGCAGAGGTATATATATAGGTGCTATCTATAGGATAATATTAATAAGCTATATAGAGCTCTTTTATACGCGGCTAGCCTATATATATATATATAAGATCCGGCCTTTTATATATAACTATATAGCTTAGGCTATAGCCTAAGCCTATAACTTATAATAGTTAAAGACTCTTATAATCGGCCTTTATAGCTTTCTAAGGACTATATTACTATTAGGGTTAATAGAGGTCTAAAGCTAGTACTATTTAGTAGTATTCTTTACTTACTTATACTACTTAGTTTAGTCTTTAAGCTTCTTAAGCGTATATATTAGCTTTAATAAGAAAGAAGATAGTTTTATTATAAGATTAATAGAGACTATACCTTTAAGGGGGGGTTTTTAATAAGATATAATATTCGTTATAAAATTAAGGTTAATAGTATAAAAGGGGGCTTTAAATAGCTTTACTTCCTTATATTATAATTAATTAAATAATATAAAGAGATAATAGCTATAGACTTATACTAGGCTTATAACTAGTTATTAGGTCTTTATATTAAAGAAAGAGGGTATATATTACTCTATCCTACCTAAAAGAGGGAGTCTATAGGTATAACTATATATATATATATAAAGTGCGGGGGGGAATAGGTTTCCCTACGAATCCAGCAGCTTACGGTTATCCGGATCCGTTAAGAAACTTCCTTAGCATCCCTTAGGTTAACTACCGCATTCGGTGCCTCCGGATACGGCGATAGCATCGTCTCCGCTTATAGGGATGAGGGGCGCGCCTGTTGGTGCGTGTGGGCGTGAGCCCAACCTTCAATAGCTACACATTAGTCTGTGGCCCACTGGGACCCTTGTTGGGTCTTTGAGACCCTCGTTGGGTCGTGACAACCTTCCAGTGATAGACAGCAGCCATTGGTGGGTGCCGCTACCCCCCCCCCTCGGTCATCGGGTGGAAAGATGCTCGCGGGAGAGGCTACCATACAAGAAGGCTACGGAGGGCATTTTCAATATGCCGGTACCTCGTGGCGCGAAGGTGAAACGAGTGTCGACTACCACCTTCTCGATTCTTCCAACTTTGTTGGTCACGTTCCGGCTTAGAAGGTCCCGCACTCAAGTGAATTGTTTCCTTGACGCTGGTTTGCGCAGCTTCATTTTTCCTGGCTGGTCTATTGACAGCTTAGGCGAGGCCGACTCATTGTGGTACACTTCCGATCTGCTGGGCAGACTAAGAGAATCCCTGCTTCGTGAGGCAGCCATCCACGTCAGTCCATGCGAGACTGAGAAGACAGATACATGCCGTTAACGGATACAGTTTGCCGTCGACACGCGGTTGTGTTGGCAAGGGCCATAGAGTCTATTCGATCATGTCGGATGGGACTACCGAGTACCGACCCTCCCCCGAAGATAGAGCCGGGGACGCAGAACTGCATCTGCACTATCAAGTGGCGGAGGCCGAATGACCCTGAGGCCTTTACGTGGTACTACAAAACGGACTGTCCTGTCTTACTGGACCAGCATACGCGTCATCGGGAGATATTCACACAGGCCCTGGATGGCGGCTTCGGATTTGCAAGGGACCCGGAGGGAGGTAGGATTATCATCAGCGACGGCAAGGTGAGTCGCATCTCGAGACCATCTTCTCTGCTTCATTGCGTCCCTTTCTCCTTCATGCACCGCTAACGTGGACATGATGCCCGTCCAGGAGAGACACTCACCTTAGTTTATGTAGCCAAGCAGCCGAGCCTTTCGGTCCTTTCGAAGAAGTAGACGGTTCTTCACAACAGGATGGACCAACATGCGACTAGAGCTGCATATCGGTAATGTACAAGGAGACTTCGTGGAAAGCCTGCATAGATTGGTAACTGGTAAAGGGACAATAGAATGAGATTCAGGATACTTTTCGTGTCTGTACAGAGGTGTAACCCTGTCCATTGGAGTTTGTATGCAGATCCATCCGTTTCGTGACTTCTTCCATCGAACTTGTAAGTCGAACACTACATGGCTTTGAACATGACCCGGAGAGGACTCCAAGTGACGGGAAGTAGACTGAACTGTAGAAGGCGTAGGTCTCAACCTGCAAGCGGTCACTTTGTTTCAAGAGACATCACTCTGAATGATCACCTCCGGAGGACTCCTTCATGACTACGGTCATTACCCCCGAAGGGCCCGAAGGGGGTGCGACCAGGCCGCAGGACTGGGCGTGAAGAGCCACGCTGCAAGAGACCCAGACTGAGTACACACCGTTCACAAGAACACCACCCCAGTGAAGCACCACCCGAGCAACGCGAGGTAAACACCACCCAGTGAAATGCTACCGACAAACAGTCATCCGATAGGAGCGATCGGAGAGAGCGGACACCACCCGCCCTTATCCCGCAACGAGGCCGGCAGCCGAGTGAGGACGGGGGGGGCAAGTGAGCACCAGCGATCGCGCGGACGCCAGTATGTTTGTGTCAAGCTGGTCAATACCGCTACACCATGCAAAATGAGGGCACCCCCCAATAGAGGTGTTACTAACGCGTATTATAGGCCCTTTTTTGTCCTGATAGTTTGGTATAAGGGGGAACCACAGAACCAGGCACCAGCCACGTGACGGCCCCTCGTCATAAACTCGACTACGGAGAGGGACATACGTTTACCCGCACAAGGGGGAGGGAAACGGTGCTAAGTTAAACCGCTAAACCGGTAGAGACAGAGTGTGTGTGCGGGACCCACCATGACTTGTCGACAAAGAGGGCGACATAAAAGGGCAGAAGATGCCCACGCCAACAGGATATCGAGTTGCGGCGAGACTCATTGCCACCTGCACTCATCAGAGTGACTGTCGAGGACCAGTGCAAATCGTCACACGAGGCCATCGCCGACCCTGACCACCGCGGACAGACGCGCACCCACCTACCTACCCTGCACAGGATACCAGACCGACGGGACTTGCTTATCAAGCATCGAGGTCAGCTGACCACGCGCATGGTTTGTGTTGCTCGGCCGACACGTCACATACGCCAAGGGACAGACGTCACCCAGCCAAGTGGACCTTGCCTTTCCCACTGGATTGACCACAAACGATTTGGGAATCGTCTCTCTATCATCCGAGGTCGGCCATCATATGATGGAGCATGACCAGGTCTCTCGTCAGCCCAACTTCTCCACCGCGGCAGGTGGCATGAGGCTAGTAGCGGAACACCTGGAGCTGTGTGAGAACTTGCCGGCGGTCGAAGGCGGTGCTCGCCTCATGCAGAGGATGGACACCATTTTGGAGCGCTTGGCGACAATGGAGCAGGCGATGCGCCGTGGCTTTTTGGATGTCGGCCAGAGAGTGGACGCGTTAGACCGCAAGGTCACTGTTACGTGAGTGGTTTGTCGCGTTTCTCCCACGTGGTGATACTGACCGCTTTCGTTCCCGGGCAGGAACAAGAACTTCACGGCACGCATGCAGAACAGCATTGTCGTTCACGAAAGTGTCGAGCTGGCGCCTCTCTATAGTGCCCAAACGGGGGATCTGGTCCCCGGATGTCCAAGGAAGCTGGCTGATCTAGACAGACTATCAGGTAAGTGGCTTGTACACGTACTCCCGGGGGAAAGCGCTGATAAGTGGCTATAACCAGCTCAAGAGGCGGCGGAGCTGCTACGTCAGCTGGATGAACCCGTGCCGAGAACAGTAGATCAGAGAAGGAGCCAGCTGAGGCATGCTTTTGGCGTGAGGACGCGGGCCGCATGAAAAATGTGGCTCTTTGCGTTATCAGAGAGTGTCGGCGTTGGGCAGGAGTTCTCGGATGGGAATCTGACTATATTTTTACTTACGTCGCAATAGCTTCACTTCTATGTAGAACATGAATAAGGACTCCCGATTGAACGTAAACTCTCATCTATTTTGGAACAGCATTGTAGTGACATTACTCAATAGATATTGGAGGAACCCTCGTTTACAAGAGATTGACTTAAGTGATCAACCCCGTAGGGCCCAAGCAGGACTACGGATATTGACCCCCGAAGGGGGTGCGTCGAGGCTGAAGGTCGAGATGCGAAGAGCCACACTTGAAGCACACAGGATCGAGTCAGCCCGTTCACAAGAATTCTTGACAACACTCACACCCGAGTGCAACGAGGCAAACACCTCCCAGTAAAACGCTACAGACAAAGTCCACAACACCAGGAGCGAGCAGCGCGAGCGGACCCCTTCCCCCTTATCCCGCGACGAGCCACCCCGTAGGGCCCAAGCAGGACTACGGATATTGACCCCCGAAGGGGGTGCGTCGAGGCTGAAGGTCGAGATGCGAAGAGCCACACTTGAAGCACACAGGATCGAGTCAGCCCGTTCACAAGAATTCTTGACAACACTCACACCCGAGTGCAACGAGGCAAACACCTCCCAGTAAAACGCTACAGACAAAGTCCACAACACCAGGAGCGAGCAGCGCGAGCGGACCCCTTCCCCCTTATCCCGCAGCCGGAGGCGAGGACGCGGTAGCAAGCGAGTATTGACGAGCGCGCGGACGAGAGTATGTTTGGTATAAGGGGGAACCACGGCACCAGGACCCAGACTAGGTGCGTCCCCGGTCATAAACTTGCCTGCAAGAGTCTTTGAGTCACCTGACTAGCAGACAGGGACGAGTCGCTAACGCCCAATGGGAACGTAGAGAGCAGGGCGGGATACATGCACGAAGGTGCAGTCACAGTTTGGGGTGTGGCCACAAGCTCGAGTGGAGCCGCTCCCACGCAACGGGGTATAAAGGCAGGGTGCCGCCCTCGCATGCTCAGGACGAGAGTCTACCACTTCCAGCCACTGACCGAGAGGCATCAAACCTGAACGCAGTGCGTTTTCTGTGAGAGAGATGCATGACTGTTTCTCCACTGAGGAGACAGGGCATTCTCGCTGAGGGTAGCTCAACGAAGACTTGGCCGGCGCGCGGAGCAGAATCGGCTGATCATGCCGGGCAAGAATCGGCTGAAGGGCGATGGCCGTTTTGCTGAGAAGGGCTCGCAATCGGAGACGTCTTCTGGTAAGCGTTGGGAAACCCCGGCAGGGTTCTACTCGCCTGATACATTAACGAAGTGGACGACAGGGAGCAGTGCATCAGATAGCAGCTTGGGGAGCCTGCATGAGTTCGTTGTGCCCGACTCACAGAGTGAAGGAGGCTTGGACGTGGCGACAGAGTCGTTGGATCATCAGCATGAAGTCCCGGAGACCCCTCCCTGCCGGCAACCTTCTCCAGACACGGTGTATCACCAAGTGGTGGAGCAAAGTAAGTTGAAGCGCAAAGCGGAACAGCAGCACGGAAAGCGACGTCTGCTCGGCGAAAGCCCCAGGAGTTCCAGCCCCGTTCTGATGGAGAAGGAGGGGCATCTGCGCCTTCAGTCCGTAGTGGCCGGGCACTCGGAGACACCATGTGCCGTGCACGCTTTTTTGAGAGAGCTGCCTTCGCTAGAGAGCGAGTTAGAGTCTGCCACCTTGAACCTTGTCCGCGCGGAACAGAGTCTGGCTGCCGTGAGGCAACTTTTCGACAAACATGGAAGTGGATGTGCCTGTGTCCACTGGCCCGGGCTTCGTAGTCCCCTCAAGATGAAACAGGAGAAGAGCCCTGGAACGCGGCCACATGTGGTGTTGGACGAGGAGGGAAAGACGGCGGAGTCGGAGACAGATTCAGACGTACCGCTTCGTAGATTCTCACGAGGGAGACGTGGTAGACTGGCGTATTAACCCTCTACTGGACTCTCCTTGCTCATCTCAACCGGGCTCTAGAATAGCGCATAAGCAGGGTGGATTTGATCACGAAACATGCAGGGTCTCTTTGTGATGTGGACACAGAAACGTAAGCCAACCCGGCCCAGCAGGCCAACCCCTCGAGGATACCAACTCGAGGATAAACCCCGTAGGGCATATCTAGACTACGAATGCAATCCCCCGAAGGGGGTGCAGACAGGCCGAAGGACTGGCTGTGAAGAGCCACCCGCTCCAAACACACAGACAGTGTCCACACCGTAGACTGGGAGGTCCAAGTCACATACTATCTGTATGGCAGTCCATACCGTGCTAACGCACACGGTCGGAACCACCACCAAAATCTTCATGAGAACGATGAACACGCGGAACCACGGGGATAGCAAATCCCACAAAAATGCCCCGGCTACCAACGGAAGCCCGACCCCAAGAGCGAGCCAGCGGCGAGCGGACCCCTTCCCCCTTATCCCGCAGCCGGAGGCGAGGACGCGGTAGCAAGCGAGTATTGACGAGCGCGCGGACGAGAGTATGTTTGGTATAAGGGGGAACCACGGCACCAGGCACCAGACTGGGGACAAATTCGCCGGTCATTGCACGGGATTAATGCCGTGCGTCATACACTACGGGAGTGAGAGCGGGAGAAGTGGCCGTAAACCCGGATGACAAAGGAAGGAGGGGGGGACTGCAGAGAATCATGCAGGCAACAGTCAAGAGGGTGTGGGGGATCCACACCCACTCGTCACACGGAGGTGACCACCGAGAGGGTATAAGAAGCTGGCTTCGCCCACTTCCACTCCCACCAGAAGAGAATCACTCTTCTCTTTTGAACTTCGTTCAACACTCCGCGCAAGCGCTCCGCTATCCTCGCCTGGCGGCTCGCTGGAAAAGCAGGACGGAGTAGAGGTGAATGTCCATTCCTCCGCATACGTGCACCCTGCGGTGCACTCGCTCCCTCATTCCCCCGGTGAGGACCTCGATTGGTAGCCGGGAGGCGTCAAGAGGAACCCCTTGTAGTCCCCGTAGGGAAAATGGAGGTCCGTTTTTCACGCCCAGGACCCAGAAAGCGCACTGCTACAGTGGCTACACGAGAGTGCTCTGCCTCCCAGAACAGGAGGTTCCATGCCTGCCGGCGGCTTTTACTCCTCGCCTGCGGCTCGCCACGCAGCATATGGTGACTCCTTCGACCCTGGGTACTGGAAGTGGGCTTTCCATCGAGCCAGATGCACCCGCAACGGAGTGAGTGGGATACCAGCGGTTCAGTCAGTGACAGTCCTGGTAAGGGGCAGCCTTCATCCATGAGGAGTTGGGAACGATTCCTCCCTCCGCTTCGCTCCGTCCGTCACGTCACCTGCGGTGCGGGTTCATAGTCTAGGCCATCCCTCCGGGGGTCATCATTCGAGGCGTAGCCAGGGGAAACAGGAGTCACCACGTGAGTATAAACTCAACGCATCTCGCAAGAGTCCGTCGGTAGCCAGTGCGACTTTGGTTGTGGACCAGCCCCCCCTCACGACGTAGCCAGGAGAAGGAACACTCGTTGTCATTGGAGTGAATGTGAACACACACTTTGGACTGTAAAGTCAAAAGTCGAAGTCGAAGTCGAATGGACGGAGTTGAAGTAGGCTCGATACCATCCGTGAGTGTAAACAACTGTGTAGACACCCCGCTTGCCTAGACCAGTGCTGGGGATAGCCTCACCTGTCCACCACCCCTAGACTACATCTTACCAGACCTGAAGATGTATCCGTTCGCTGGCGTAGAAGTGATGGAGTGACTGTACACTCCAATCTGCCCAGGCTACCAACAAGACCCAAAAGAGCATGAGCCAACCCGGCATCGTAGAGTCCAAGCGTTTACAAGAGATAGATGGTATAAGGGGGAACCACGGCACCAGGACCCAGACTAGGTGCTTCCCCAGCACTACACGGGATTCATCACGTGGTCCTACATGAAATGAACTGGAGGGAAATGAAATGGTGAGTAAACCGGGAAGAACGGAGGGACTGAAGGGGAGACTGCAGAGCATCATGCAGGCCAAGACCAAGAGGGTGTGGGGGACCCACCCCGACTCGTCCCCAACAGGGACACACAGAGATGTATAAGAGGGAGCCCTCGTCCAACCCTCCAACAGAAGAGTCTTCTTCCTCTTCCACTCACACAATAGTGGACGTGCCACAGGCACAGGTAGGATCTACTCTATCCCCGCCGGGGGACACTGGAGACACTGTCGTGACTGCGTCACTCGTCTTGCAGACAGCCTTTTGAACTACGTTCAACACTCCGCGCAAGCGCTCCGCTGGCCTCGCCTGCGGCTCGCAAAGAGCTGAACTAAGTAGAGGAGGATGTCCACTCCTCCGCATACGTGCACCCTGCGGTGCACTCGCTCTGTCATTCCCGTGAGGAGAGACCATTGGTAGCCGGGGTGAGTGTGGAGGAACCCCTTGTAGTCCCCGTAGGGAAAACTGAGGATCGCTTTTGCCCCGCCGAACCAGCAGTCGACACTTTTGGACAAGAGTCCTCTTTTCTGTTGAAGACATTGATTCTGGAGCAGGTCTTGGTCATACCCCTGACCCTGAGCTCTGGCGGAGAGTGGTGGCCGCGTCATGATGAGTGACGACAGTTTGTTGCCCCGGACTCCTTCCCACTCCCACACCTGTTGATGTGTGGGTCTTTGAGGCTTCTGCCTATTCCTCCCGAGAGGGGTTTCGCAGTCATGAGTCGATATCGACGAGGATGAGCACAGGAGTGGGATCCCGTATCCATGGGAGGCAGACTTCTTTCCTTGAACAGAGTGACACACACGGAGTGGAAAGGACGGAGACGGAGACAGTGACACAAGTCCAGTCTGTAGTACCCACTGGGCATTCGCCCACCCACATCGGATCAGAGTGACATGAGTGGCTGGAAAGCCGGGACGGTAGAGTATCCATCTCACCTGACTGGAAAGGGACTGGTGATAGCCTCATTGACCCTGGCCTTTGAGCACCTAAGAAGGTGTTGCACGAGTGGAATACCGGGAGCGTAGTCATCGACGGAATAGAGTGCATGTACAATGCTAGAACCGAGATGCGGTAGAGCCAACCAAGTAGACTCCTACAAGACACTTCTCATTCCACATGCCACCCGGCTACAGATAGACTCCAACAAGGAGAGTGATCCTTTCCCAGAGCGTAAGCCAACCCCTCGAGAGATACCAACTGAGGATAACCCCCGGAGGGCCCAGTCATGACTATGGTCATTACCCCCGCAGGGGGTGCAGGCAGGCCGAAGGACTGACTGTGAGAAGCCACACTCAAACAGAGCAGATCGTGTCACACAGTCCACACACAGTGAACAGGGAAGTCCAAATCACATACCACTTGTATGGCAGTCCATACTGTGCCAACGCACACAGTCGGAACCACCACCAAAAAGGTGCCCAAGAACGATGAAAGCGCAGAACCACGGCGATAGCAAATCCCACAAAAATGCCCCGGCTACCAAAGTAGTCCCAGCCCCAGGAGCGAGCCAGAGGCGAGCGGACCCCTTCCCCCTTATCCCGCAGCCGGAGGCGAGGACACGGGAACGAGCGAGCACCAGCGAGCAAGTGGACGCCAGTATGTTTGGTATAAGGGGGAACCACGGAACCAGGCACCAGACTGGGACCAATTCCACCATCATTGGCGAGAGCGGTCCTACATTAGTCCGAGAGACAGGAGGACAATGGTACGTAACACCTAGGCACCCAGAGGGGGGATGGTGGAAAGGTGTGGCAGGCGCATGCATGGATCCACACCAGCTTGTCGACATAAGAGGGAGACATAAAAGGACAGCGTCCCCCCACCCGAGAGGCACGGAGTCTGAGCAGACGCTCCTCTACCCCCGACCAGGGAAGGTTGACTCAGTGCTCAGCATCTGGAAAAGTACGGTATTCTTGAGCTTGGTGAAATATGCTGCGACCCTTTTAGACAGAGAGACACGGCGGTGCGTGTTTTCCGGGATTGCGGGCAGCTCGCGACGGATTGTCTATAGTCCTTGTGGACTTGCTTACAGGCGCACAGAACTGGTAGGAAGGCAGGGGAAGGCTTGGCCTGAGCCGGCGAAATGGACAACGTGGACGATTCGGCATTGGGAATGCGTGACGTCCTACTGGACACAAAGACTTGCTGGTGCAAGAATATCAGTCTCTTGACGGAGCTGGAAGCCTCGACCAGTTCAGTTTCAAGTGAAACGGATGATTCCGAAGGAAGGTTCTGGTTTACAGTCGTGCTTCCGGAGCTGACGTCGTACCGTGTGGGACGTGTCATGGAGGACATCGGGTTGATTTTTCCAGCAGACACCTGGTACTACGGATGTCGAGAAGAGCATGTTTCTGCCTCGAGATATGGGCATGAGACTGTCCATCATTGCATAACGCTTCTTCTTGCTTGTGCGAAGCCGTATACGTCGGCTTCCATTCGCAGCGGGGCGGAGAACCTGCTCTTATCGAGCTTAGTGGAGAAGTGTCACGGGCTGTGCCCGGCTGGTGGACCCGGTTGTACCGGGTCCGGTGGGTCGTGCTCCGGTGGCAACACCGGCCCCGCTCCGCGGACCCAGAAGCTGCGAGAACATTCCGAGAAGGGCAATATAGCTCGCACTCGAGGCTACGCCTCGAGTTCAGCTTCTTTTCCTCCTTAGCTCTAGATAGACAACATCTAGGCACCTGCTTGTTGAATAAACTCCGGGCCAGCCTTTCACATATCTAGAGCTCCTTCTAAATACCGCAAGCTGCAGACTGCTCGTCAGGATGGACCAGCAGAGTGAGCCCAAGTCTCCAGCAGCAATGGATTGACCAACGCATTCAAGAAGCGGTCAATGCGACTCTCAGCCCTCTACAGGACCAACTTTCCTTGCTGATGGAGCAACTCGGGCGAGCGCAGCCGCAGAGCGCCGACTTGCAATCGCCGCCAGTGGCACGAGGATTGGGCGAGAGCACGCCTGGCTTGGGCACGCCCTCCCAAAACCTGCGGTACTGGAATGCGGAAACCGTTGCCCAACCCACCCAAGTATGACGGCTCACGGAAGAGCTACTCCTCCTGGGCCAGGCAGATGCGAGACAAGCTGGACCTTGATGCACACTACTACAGTGGAAATCGCGAACTTTGGTACCTCATCAACTCATGTTTGGACGAGCGACCACAGCAAGTGGTCGCTACCTTTACGCCGCGGGAGGCCCTGGGGTAGCTACGACCCCAAGAGTTCATGCGATACCTCGACCGAACCTACCAGGACAGCAACATCAATCCCGCGCTGCTGCCACGCTGAGAACTATGCGGCAGCGCGAAGACCAACCTCTGGGAGACTGAAACCCGGTAGGCAGCCGACGTCGACTGAGCGGACGCCTCAACAGCTACCAAGGCAACGACCCAAGGAGGAACCGGAGGACCCCGACGGAGATGTTAAGATGACGGACATCAACCGTATTGGCCACGAGTCGAAGGGTCGTCGACATGTCGATAAGAAGCCGAAGGATGAGCGCCGCTGCTATCGCTGTGGTCGGACGGATCATCTTATCGTGGACTGCCCAGCCCAGGTGGTCTTTCCTGGCGAAGGAAGCAACAGCGACCTAAAGCTGCGCGCATGAAGAAGCCCGATGCCGCAGATGATTCGGAATCAACCGCAGCATCCAGTGAGGACGAGTCGGCGGGAAAAGACTAGCCCCGGGGCGAAAGCGGGCGCCGGGGCCTGCAAAGGCAGACATCCGGGACTGGGAAGCGTTCAAGCCACGAATGAATAGTCGGACTGTATTAGTCAACGCGCGGGTAAACCGAGGCTATCGAATACGCGCCCTTGTCGACTGTGGATGTGACTGCTATGCCGTGATCGACGAAGCCCTTGTTCGGAAGCTGCGGATACCCTTCGTCGACTCGAAACCACGAGAAATTGGGGGATTCTCAGAGTCAGCGAAGAGTGTCATATCCCCAGGGTCGTGGCTGTTGTGGTCGAGACAGCTGGATTTGACGAACGTGTCTTTGCATACGTGATCCCAAGCCTGGGCCAGGACATGTTCCTCGGCCGGCCTTGGATGGAGAAATCACGTCGTGTACGATGCTGCCAAGCAGCGAATGTACCATGGGAGGGCAGGTGTGACGATACGCCTCATTGGGCAGGAAGAGCCCGCCAAGATACGCGCGATTCGAAGCGCAAGACTCGTGTCGGCAGCCGTATTCACGGCGGAGTGTCGACGCGCAAAGAGACGCAAGAAGTGCAACGCGATCTCGATTCATGCAATCAGTTTGTCGGATATAGAGAGGCGCTTCAGCCGAAGCCGCCAGTCGATCCGAGCGAGAAGGTCCCGGCAGAAGTGCTGAAAGAATTCCGCGACCTATTCTCACCAGGAGAGCAATGAAGCTGCCGCCACATCGACCGGGTGTGGATCATGAAGTCAACCTGCAGCCTGACAAGAACGGCAACGAGCCACCCCTTCCGTGGGGCCCACTCTACAACATGTCACGAGAAGAGCTGTTGGTCTTGCGAAAGACCCTGAAAGACCTGCTGGACAGAGGATTCATCCGAGCGAGTAGCTCAGCGGCTGCCGCGCCGGTGCTGTTCGTGCGGAAGCCGAATGGAGGGCTGCGATTTTGTTGCGACTACCGAGCGCTGAATGCAATCACCAAGCGCGACCGATACCCACTGCCCCTCATCGCGGAGACCCTGCAGAATCTGGCCAAGGCTAAGTGGTTCACCAAGTTGGACGTGGTGGCCGCTTTCCATAAGATCCGCATGGCTCCGGGACATGAGGAAAGACTGCATTTCGCACGAGGTTTGGGCTCTACGAGTGGCTCGTGTGCCCTTTCGGCCTGAGCGGCGCCCCGGCATCATTCCAACGATACATGAACAGTGTATTGCGCGAATGGCTGGACGACTTTGTCACAGCGTACCTGGATGATGTACTGATCTACTCGAGCGGTTCGAAGGCGGATCATGAGGCTAAGGTGCGACGAGTTCTCCAAGCACTCGCCGACGCTGGGCTGCACCTAGACCCAGCGAAGTGCGAGTTTTCGGTACAAGAGGTCAAATACCTTGGGTTCATCGTCAACGCAGGAAAGGAATCGCCTGCGACCCCGAAAAGCAGCGCGCCATCCGCGAATGGGAGGCCCCGACCACGGTGAAGGGTGTCAGAAGCTTTCTGGGCTTCGCCAACTATTACCGGATCTTCATCCCCGACTATGCCAAGATCACGCAGTCTCTGGATGCCCTGCTTAAGAAAGGAACTGCCTTTCATTGGGGACGAGCGGAGAACGAGGCGTTTCAGGAGCTGAAGCGACGATTTTGCGAGTCACCGGTGCTCAAGCAGTGGGACCCGAGCCTCCCGACCTTTTTGGAGACGGATTGCTCAGGCTACGCATTGGGAGGCGTCCTGTCGCAGGAAGGCCCAGATGGACGTCGACACGCATGCGCCTTCTTCTCGAAGCGACTTTCGCCAGCGGAGTACAACTATCCCATTCACGACAAGGAGATGCTTGCCATCATGAGATGTCTCGACAACTGGAACGCCGAACTTAGGAGCTGCGGCCCATTTACAATCCTTACCGATCACCGCAACCTGGAGTATTTCGCGACACGCCAGAAGCTCACGGAACGGCAGAGCCGTTGGGCAGCCGAATTGTCCCAGTTCGACTTCAAGCTCGAGTATCGACCGGGAAGCGAGGCTGTCGTGCCTGATGCGTTGTCCCGCCGTGAACAAGACAAGCCACAGGGCATTGACGACGAGCGGGAACAAGGAAGAATGATACAGTTGATACCGGATAGTGCCATTCCATCATCGACAAGAGCATGTATCAACGCGATGAGTTCTGACTGTTCAGAGGCATCCACCCTGCCGAAGATGAAGGTCTTCGAGGTAGCGGACCTGCAGCAACTCTGGGACGAAACGGTGGCGAAGGACTCGATATTCCGGGCAGCCTATAAGGCAGTCCGCGATCGCGAGCGTGCCTTCCCGCCCTCGCTGGGCCTGAAGATCCAGATTTCAGAATGTGCGATCGACGCAGGCAAAGGCTGACATTCAGAGACCGTATTTGGGTGCCGGGTGGATCCGGAGAGGAGGGTAACCAGGAGGAAGCTGAGAAAGACCAGTTGAGAACCCGCATTGTGCAGCAGTCGCATGACTCTGTTGCGACCGGTCATCCCGGCAGGGAAGGTACGCTGGCTATTGTGGCTCGGCGATTCTACTGGCCTGGGCAGTCCCAGCTGGTTCGCCGGTACGTAGCCAATTGCGACACCTGCGGCAGAGCACATCTGGCGCCAGTCGAAAGGGATTTCTCAAGCCTCTGCCGATTCCAGATCGACCCCGAAGCCATTTGTCCATGGACTTCATCACAGATCTGCCGCCTACTGGACCGAGCAAGGCAAGGTACCTGTGGGTGATTGTGGACAGACTGACAAAGGCTGTGACCCTCGAGGTGATGGACAACATGGAAGCTGAGCCGTGTGCAAACCGTTTTCTCCAGTGTCATTACCGATTTCACGGAATGCCACGGTCCATCGTCAGCGACCGCGGGAGCAACTGGCTAAGTAGGTTCTGGAAGAGGTTCTGCCGTCTTGCAGGTGTCACGCAGAAATTGAGCACGGCCTATCATCCTCAGACGGACGGAGGCCCAGAGAGAATGAACCAGGAGATCGAGGCCTACCTGAGAGCCTACGTGTCGTACGTGCAGGACGACTGGGAGAACTGCTCCCTGCCGCGCAGCTGGCACTCAACAATCGTGAATCCGCAGCGACCAAGATCAGCCCCTTTTTCGCTGAGCATGGTTACCACGTCGATCCCATCAGCGTCGAGGAATCGGAAGAGCCACCGAGGCATAGAGAGGAAAGCAGAGCTGATAGCCTACTCAGTCGCCTGCAGGAGGTCAATGAGTACATGCAAGCAGTGATGGCCTCCTCACAGCAACAACAAGAAGAGGCTGCCAACGCAAAGCGACAGCCTGCGGAGCGATTTGAAGTTGGTGACAAGGTGTGGCTCTCGATGGCAAACTACAGATCGCCACGACCGTGCAAGAAGCTCGACTGGCTGCATCACAAGTACACAGTCACGAAGGTAATTAGTTCGCACGTTGTTGAGCTCGATGTTCGTGGCTCAATTTACCCGCGATTTCATGTTGACCTTTTGCGGCGGGCGCATCAAGATCCGGCTCCTGGCCAAAAGGTAGATGACGCACAGCCACCACCGGTACAAGATGAGTCCGGCACGAATCTGTGGGATGTCGACGAGATTCTCTGCGCGAGATGGAAGAAGCGGGGACGAGGGGAATTCAGGCAAGCACTAGTGCGATGGACGGGCTACGCAGAGCCGACTTGGGAGCCAGTTGAGTGGTTGCAAGGAACAATTGCGATGAAGGCATTCGAGGACAAGTACGGGCCAATCAAGACCAATGATGGCCCTAGGGAGAGGTACGAGACGCTGGCAGGAACGCAAGAACCCCGCAGACGCCGACCTGGTCGGAGGGGACAAGGGGGGTAATGTCACGGGCTGTGCCCGGCTGGTGAACCCGGTTGTACCGGGTCCGGTGGGTCGTGCTCCGGTGGCAACACCGGCCGCTCCGCGGACCCAGAAGCTGCGAGAACATTCCGAGAAGGGCAATATAAGCTCGCACTCGAGGCTACGCCTCGAGTTCAGCTTCTTTTCCTCCTTAGCTCTAGATAGACAACATCTAGGCACCTGCTTGTTGAATAAACTCCGGGCCAGCCTTTCACAAGAAGCTTGACTTGAGTCCCTGCCCATCCCATCGGCCGCCGGGGTCGGGTGCAGGCTTTGCTTCCATAGCAACGTGGGTCAAGCATCGCATTGACTACATCCAGGCGGCTGGTAAAGGCGGCTTGCAAGGCAGTCTGGAACGCGGAGTTTTTGGCTTCAACGGTATACTGTGGGTATTGAAGAAACAGTTTGGCAGCGAGTCCGACGTGTTGGCCGTGGAGATGGCCTTGGCGAAACACTGCTCGGACCAGGAAGACGGTATCTCAGACAGTGAATCTGTATCCTTGATGTCAGGATGCAATGACCTGCACATGAGTACGGAGGACATGAGTCTCGTCGACATCGATATAGATTGGAGTAAGGAGCTGGACGACTTTGACTGGGACGGCTGGGGCAAGGAGTGATGGCGTTGCGGAGTGGGGCGACACATTGTAGACTACATGCATGATACACACTGAATGATACCATGACCCTCCAAGACTGAACTGCAAAAGAGCGTAGACCAACCCGTCCCGTAGACCAACCCCTCCAAGAACATTACTCTGAGCATAAGCCCCGCAGGGAGTATCTAGACTACGGATATTTACCCCGAAGGGGTGCGGTCAGGCCGAAGGACTGGCTGCGAGAAGCCACCCTGCAAGAGACCCAGACGGAACCACACACGTTCACAAGAACATCACCCCAGTGAAGCACCACCGAGTGAAACGAGGCAACAACACACAAGAGCCCAAGGGCTACAGATATAAATCTCCCTTCCAAGAGCGAGCAGAGCGAGCGGACCCCTTCCCCCTTATCCCGCAGCCGGAGGCGAGGACACGGGAACGAGCGAGCACCAGCGAGCAAGTGGACGCCAGTATGTTTGGTATAAGGGGGAACCACGGAACCAGGAACCAATCTGGTTATGTCAGCCACCGGAATGAAATGGAGGTAGGTTGATCCCCAGCTATTGGGAACGGAGTGACTGTCATACATGGACTGGAGAAGACGGAAGGGAATGGCCGTAACACCAATGAGGACAGCGGACGCATGGTGGATGAGTGGGTGTGCAGGACCCACTCGGACTTGTCGACACAGCGGGCGACATAAAAGGGCGGAGATGCCCACCTGAAAAAGGCCATAGACGAGAGTCGACATATATTTCAATTTCTTTTTTCCAACTCTGCGCTGGTCGTAGCAAGGCTCAAGTGAGTATGATCTCATGCTGCAATGGAGACAGTGGATTAACCAGAGGCCGGGCGGGCTTCACCTCGCTCATGTAGCCACGGTACGGAGTAGAGTACCTGATGGAGACATCACCGTTTCGAGTAACACCCGCAAGGGTCTTCTATTCAGACTGGGCAATGCCCTGTCAACTCCCGTCAGCACACGGTCCAGAGTCACAAGAGTTCGACCCGAGCCATGAGGATGCCACCGCCGAGGAAATAGCGCGGCAACTTGTCTGTGACACATACTGTCCCATTGTCACCTGTGCAGCCTTGAAGGCGTTGCCCGTCACGAACGGAAAAGTGTGATACACTGGCTCACAAAGGAACTGGAGCCTCTCGTACGATGTCCTCCCAGGGACAGGAGTCGGTCATTGTGTGGAACCAAAGTGTCATCGCCAAGTGGCGTCTCTTTGAATCGAGATTTGACGTCGAGCTGGGCTGGACCCATTTTGATGAAGGTGCGCCCGGTGGGTCATCCTACCCTTCTCCTCGAGGCACTCGGGTACTATTGCCTACAGTCGGCTGTGGCTTCATCAGCGTTGCTTGGCTGTTCTGCGTGTCGCGGCAAGAGGGCAGGGCTCTGCTCGTCGAACCTGGTGGGACATTTGACGGATTCTTTTCCTTGGATGCATGTAGATGCGGTGTATGCCTTTCCTGACCATAGCCTATTTTCGGAAGAGCAAATGGCTGCTTGGTCCCTTGCTGTGAGCTTTGTTGGTTTTGGACTTCTTGGACGAGCTCTGTCAAGTGTAACCGTCGAGCGTCACGCACACACTCTGCTCCAACAATGGTGTTTGGAGATTGAACGGATTCTTGTCGGCTTTGGGCAGAATGAGCAGGCGCCTCCACCATACATTGCATGACGACGATTCAACGTAGTTCTGACGATGGCTTCAAGTTGTAGAGTAGACTCGGATTGAATAGACCTTCAAAGGCTCCGGGGCTACCAATGGAATCCGATACTGTGAAGTGACGTAGAAAACGGACAGTAGGCTCAACCCCGTTTACAAGAGATAGATAGTAATATCACCTCCGGAGGACCATTTCATGACTATGGAATTCTACCCCGAAGGGGTGCGACCAGGCCGAAGGACTGGGCGTGGAGAGCAGCGAAGCGTCACCGCACCCCAGTACATAGACTGAATACAGCGTTTACACGAATTCTTGACAACACTCACACCCGAGTGATAACGAGGCCACAACCACAAAAGTGAAATGCTACAGATATAAATCTCCCTTCCAAGAGCGAGCAGGGCGAGCGGACCCTTTCCCCCTTATCCCGCAACGAGGCCAGCAGCCGAGTGAGGACGCGGTAGCAAGCGAGTATTGACGAGCGCGCGGACGAGAGTATGTTTGGTATAAGGGGGAACCACGGAACCAGGAACCAATCTGGTTATGTCAGCCACCGGAATGAAATGGAGGTAGGTTGATCCCCAGCTATTGGGAACGGAGTGACTGTCATACATGGACTGGAGAAGACGGAAGGGAATGGCCGTAACACCAATGAGGACAGCGGACGCATGGTGGATGAGTGGGTGTGCAGGACCCACTCGGACTTGTCGACACAGCGGGCGACATATAAGGGCGGAGATGCCCACGCCAACAGGATATCGAGTAGCGGCGAGACTCATTGCCACCTGCACTCATCAGAGTGACTGTCGAGGACCACTGGCACATCGCCACACGGGCCGTTGTTGACCCTCCCACGCGGACAGAGACACGCACCCACTTACCTACCCTGTACAGGGGAGAGGTACTCGCACTGCTTACCCAATCACTAGTCAGGTGACCTCGCGCTCAGTTACCGTGGGGACGCGCCCGCGCCACGAGGCAGCACAACGTCAGCAACGGAGTCATTTCGTCGATTCCGGATCGATCAGTCCGGGACATTTGAACCCCTCCACAGTCATGGAGCAGGCATTCGAACAGCCTGATTTCGATCAGGTGGCACATCATTTCAGGGACGCGGCAGATCACTTCGAGCGGTGTGGCAATCTGCCTGCCGTTGATGGCGGAGTTCGCCTTATGCAGAGGATGGACGCCATGATGGAGCGCTTTGCAGCTTTGGAGCAGACGGTGCGGCGCGGTTTTACTGATATGGCTCAGAGGATGGACGGGTTCGACCGCAAGGTTACCGTGACGTGAGTCGAGGTCCTCCCAAGTCTTGCAGCATGTTTTGCTGACCTTTTTTCCCCAACAGGAACCGCAACGCAGTGGTGCGGGCTCAGAACAGCACCGTCGTCCGTGGCAACATGGACTTGGAACCCCTCTACAGCGTCCTCACCGGTGACCGGTTGGACAACTTCCCGCAGACCCTGGACCAGCTGGAGCGGCTACCGCGTGAGCCTCCCGTCGCGACTCTTTCACATGCAGTCACATACTGACCATGGACATGCATCGCAGTGCCGGCTGTCAATGATCTCTTGACACATCTCGGCGAGGAGCCAAGAGGGCGCTTGGAAGAACGGAGGAGACACTTGAAGCTTGCCGTGGGAGTCACGACCAGGGCGGTGTGACCTGGGAGGAGATGGATTGATAATGACTTGGCGGGAGACAAATACATGGATGGATCATGACTTGACTTGACTTGACTTGACTTGACTTGACTCAACCTGAACTCGACAGTGACTGAGGTAGAACCTTTGAAGTAAACCAAACCCCGTTCACAAGGAACAGATGGTAACATCAACCCCGTAGGGCCCAGGCATGACTATGGTCATCTACACCCGAAGGGTGTGCGTCCAGGCCGAAGGACTGGATGTGAAGAGCCACACGCTCCAAATACACTGACAGTGTACACACTGTAACCAGGGAAGTGGAAAACACACCAATTCTGTATGGCAGTCCATACTGTGCTGACGCACACGGTCGGAACCACCACCAAAATCTTCATGAGAACGATCAAAACACAGAACCAGAGGGATAGCAAATCCCACAAAAATCACCCGGCTACCAAAGTAGTCCCAGCCCCAGGAGCGAGCCAGCGGCGAGCGGACCCCTTCCCCCTTATCCCGCAGCCGGAGGCGAGGACGCGGTAGCAAGCGAGTGTCAACGAGCGCGCGGACCAGAGTATGTTTGGTATAAGGGGGAACCACGGAACCAGGAACCAATCTGGTTATGTCAGCCACCGGAATGAAATGGAGGTAGGTTGATCCCCAGCTATTGGGAACGGAGTGACTGTCATACATGGACTGGAGAAGACGGAAGGGAATGGCCGTAACACCAATGAGGACAGCGGACGCATGGTGGATGAGTGGTGTGCAGGACCCACTCGGACTTGTCGACACAGCGGGCGACATAAAGGGCGGAGATGCCCACCTGAAAAGGCCATAGACGAGAGTCGACATATATTTCAATTTCTTTTTCCAACTCTGCGCTGGTCGTAGCAAGGCTCAAGTGAGTATGATCTCATGCTGCAATGGAGACAGTGGATTAACCAGAGGCCGGGCGGGCTTCACCTCGCTCATGTAGCCACGGTACGGAGTAGAGTACCTGATGGAGACATCACCGTTTCGAGTAACACCCGCAAGGGTCTTCTATTCAGACTGGGCAATGCCCTGTCAACTCCCGTCAGCACACGGTCCAGAGTCACAAGAGTTCGACCCGAGCCATGAGGATGCCACCGCCGAGGAAATAGCGCGGCAACTTGTCTGTGACACATACTGTCCCATTGTCACCTGTGCAGCCTTGAAGGCGTTGCCCCGTCACGAACGGAAAAGTGTGATACACTGGCTCACAAAGGAACTGGAGCCTCTCGTACGATGTCCTCCCAGGGGACAGGAGTCGGTCATTGTGTGGAACCAAAGTGTCATCGCCAAGTGGCGTCTCTTTGAATCGAGATTTGACGTCGAGCTGGGCTGGACCCATTTTGATGAAGGTGCGCCCGGTGGGTCATCCTACCCCTTCTCCCTCGAGGCACTCGGGTACTATTGCCTACAGTCGGCTGTGGCTTCATCAGCGTTGCTTGGCTGTTCTGCGTGTCGCGGCAAGAGGGCAGGGCTCTGCTCGTCGAACCTGGTGGGACATTTGACGGATTCTTTTCCTTGGATGCATGTAGATGCGGTGTATGCCTTTCCTGACCATAGCCTATTTTCGGAAGAGCAAATGGCTGCTTGGTCCCTTGCTGTGAGCTTTGTTGGTTTTGGACTTCTTGGACGAGCTCTGTCAAGTGTAACCGTCGAGCGTCACGCACACACTCTGCTCCAACAATGGTGTTTGGAGATTGAACGGATTCTTGTCGGCTTTGGGCAGAATGAGCAGGCGCCTCCACCATACATTGCATGACGACGATTCAACGTAGTTCTGACGATGGCTTCAAGTTGTAGAGTAGACTCGGATTGAATAGACCTTCAAAGGCTCCGGGGCTACCAATGGAATCCGATACTGTGAAGTGACGTAGAAAACGGACAGTAGGCTCAACCCCGTTTACAAGAGATAGATAGTAATATCACCTCCGGAGGACATTTCATGACTATGGAATTCTACCCCGAAGGGGTGCGACCAGGCCGAAGGACTGGGCGTGAGAGCAGCGAAGCGTCACCGCACCCAGTACATAGACTGAATACAGCGTTTACACGAATTCTTGACAACACTCACACCCGAGTGATAACGAGGCCACAACCACAAAAGTGAAATGCTACAGATATAAATCTCCCTTCCAAGAGCGAGCAGGGCGAGCGGACCCTTTCCCCCTTATCCCGCAACGAGGCCAGCAGCCGAGTGAGGACGCGGTAGCAAGCGAGTATTGACGAGCGCGCGGACGAGAGTATGTTTGGTATAAGGGGGAACCACGGAACCAGGAACCAGCCACGTGACGGGCCCTCGTTATTGGGAACGGAGTGACGGTCTTACATTGATCCGCAGTGGATGGAGGACAATGGTTATAAACCCGGCTGACGGAGGGAAGCAAGGGGTACACATGCAGAGACACTCATGCATGTCTGTCAAGGTGGGGGAGACCCGCACCGACTTGTGGACGACCGGAGAGGAGGATGCCAATGGTATAAGAACTGGGAGTTTGCCCCCTCCTAGTTGAACAGAGTTGTTCATCTTTCACTTCTTCAAAGCATTTGTCGGAGACTTTGTCGCCAGAAGCCCAACTGCATTGTGTGCGGAGCGAGTACTTTCCTGCTTTGTGAGAGTAGCTCTCACCTTCTTGACCACGGAGCAGTCTTTATCCGGGGAGAGAGTGGCAAGATGTCATTTTCGGGGATAGGCAGCCGTAAGGCGGACAGTTCCAGGGCGAATGGAAAGATGCGGGCACCGTCTTTGTCCAGTGTGGACTCGCTGAAAAGTGACAGTCCCACCGTCGTCCTGAATAGGCCCCTGGGGCCGGAGCTCGTACAACGGAGACCAGGTCCCTCTGGCAGGCAGCTCTCGTACTTGAGTAGTGCGGACGCAATCTTGGTGGCTAACTGTCTGTTTGGCAGCGACCGTTGGAGCACGGAGGTGCTTCGTCAGTGGGAAAGTGTCCCACGTCAGGAGAGTAACAAGTGGACTGTGGATGCGATCTGCAGGGTCCGTGTGACCGTGAGCTGGGCGATGACGGCTCGGTCGACTTTCCACGAGGGAACCGGCTACGGCGGTGGCAGCAAGGGCGCAAAGACGCCCGGAGAGGCCCTGGAACTGGCCATCAAGGAGGCGGAGACGGATGCCTTCAAGCGAGCCCTACGAAGGTTTGGCGAGGCGCTCGGGAATTGTCTCTATGACAAGGACTACCTTGCCTGGATTGAGAAGGTGCGCGGCCGAGAAGGCAAGCGGGACCCTGAAAAGTTGTTCAACGTCGAGACTCTTCTGCGGAAGCCGTTGAGCGCATCTCCTGCAAGCCAGCCGAGCCTTTCTTCTGGGCCACAGCCGAGTTCCCGGGGTGGGGTAGACCATGGTGGACGCCCTGTGTCCAAGGATGAATTTGATGACGATGAGTTCTTCGAGGATCCAGGTTTGGACATGTAGTTGTGTTACTCACTACTCAAGTGGGTTGCGAAAGCCTTCATCTTGGGGAAGTACTAGGTAGACGGGCGGTTCAAGCTGAACTGGTCATGTAACCCTCCCGGGAATGGATAGGACGTGCTAGAAACCTCGCCAATGCCACAGACGGACTGGATGTAGATACAACCTTGCCACGTAGGCATGAGTGACTGTAAAAACATGACTGTAGACCAACCCGTCAAGTAGACCTTTACTCCAAGGGATACCACCTGAATGATCACCTCCGGAGGACCATTTCATCACTACGGACATCACCCCGAAGGGGTGCGGACACGCCGAAGGTGTGGCTGCGAGAAGCCACGCTCGAGAGACCCAGACGGAACCACACCAGTCAATAGACACCCGAGTGCAACGAGGCAACAATCACAAGAGTGAAATGCTACAGATAATAATCCACATCTCCAAGAGCGAGCAGGGCGAGCGGACCCCTTCCCCCTTATCCCGCAACGAGGCCAGCAGCCGAGTGAGGACACGGGAGCAAGCGATCGAAGAGAGCGCGCGGACGCCAGTATGTTTGGTATAAGGGGGAACCACGGAACCAGGCACCAGACTGGGACCAATTCCACAGCCATTACGTGAGCAATCACGTGTCCTACATCCCACGCAAGAGAGTGGAGGGGATGGTACGTATACCGGGAGTGACAGGGGAACGGAGGGGAAACGGATGCAGCTTGTGTCAACTTGCATGCAGACCCACGCCCGCTCGTGGCGACAGTGGAAGCACGCAGAGAGGTATAAAGACCCGGGGTCCCGCACCTCCCACGATTCGGGGGATTTCTCTCTTTCTCAACCAGAGGTGAGCCATCGACAGCAGACGGAGAGAGTCGTTATTTCGAGGCAAGATACTCGGCAGTACCCGATCCAGAAAGAAACTGGGTGCGAAAGCAAGTCGGCCCTCTGACATTCATCTACGCGAGAGAGGAGCAGCATCCATCTCCTGCAAAGGCACAGGGTGACCGAGACTCAAGTTGAGGATGAACCAATTGCTGAGCACTTCACCAGTGTCGGAAGATGCCGACTGGGAGTTCCTCTTGGGCCAGTGCGACTACGAGAAACGCGCCGCATCAAAGACCGGGAAGGTATTACCGGTAGAGCCACCGGAAGGCCAGGAGGACTTACCCAGTCATCCAACGTTAGCGGACATTCTTTGCGGTCCAGGAGACCCTACCTGCCACTTCCGTAGCGGGGACGTCCTACGGACTCCAATCCGAGGAGCAAGTGCGTTCTGGGCCGTCGTCGGGGTGTACTTTGACTCGATAGAGGCAGCCAGAGACCTCTGCTCTTCCGGCCTCAGCGTTTCTCCAGGGCTGGCCTGCGGAGTCTGGTCTTTTGTAGACGATGCTCGCTCGGAGCGTTGGCTCATCCTGTTTCTGTCCGGCGTCTACGACGGAGTCCAGCTGGGATCTCGCGAGTGGACTGCGGAGCAGTTCCTTCAAGGACTGATTGGGCTGAGGAACCCGCTGCTGCTCGATGTCGGCTTCGTGCAGTTGATTCCGTGGTGGGATTACCGGAACTGGCGCAAGCATTGTGACTTTCTCCTTGATTCTTCGTTGCGTGTCTGGTCACTGGGAGAAGATATTGATGTTGTCGAGTCTCGCACTTATCGAGAGATAGATGGTTTGCTTACATGAGAGGGAAGGATACGGTTAAGAAAAGTCTGCATGTGGTCATGTGTAGACCGCAGACCGGACATGGTACCGAATACCTCACGTATTACCTCTCTCCGTCGAGAACATGAATTGTGAGTGGCAGTGAAAGTATCTTGAAGCAACTTCGTACACCGTGACTGCCCAGGCTACAAGTAGCAATGAACTGGGTGAAGTGATGTTGATGTAGAATCGTAGAATAGTAGAATAGTAGAATAGTAGCTCGGCTACAGATAGACTTGAACAAAGTGAAATGGTGTAGATCCAGGATAGCTAGCCAAACCCGTTCACAAGGGGTGCATTGAGTGATCACCTCCGGAGGACCCAAGCAGGACTATGGAAGTCTACACCCGAAGGGTGTGCAGGCGAGCCGAAGGTTCGACTGTGGAGAGCCACCCGCACCCCAGCACCACACACGGAACCACACCAGTGAAGCACATCCCGAGTGATAACGAGGAAAACACAACAGAGTAAAGCGCTACAGATGATAATCACATCTCGAGGAGCGAGTGGAACGAGCGGACCCTTTCCCCCTTATCCCGCAACGAGGCCAGCAGCCGAGTGAGGACACGGGAGCAAGCGATCGAAGAGAGCGCGCGGACGCCAGTATGTTTGGTATAAGGGGGAACCAGGAACCAGGCGCCAGACTGGAACGGTGAGTCAGCCATAAACGTGACTTGGCACGGGACATACATGAAATGGACAAGAGGGAATGCAATGGTACGTATACCGTAAACGACGGAGGAGTGAAGGGGGAGACTGCAGAGACCACTCATGCAGGCACTACGAAGTAGAATGAAGAGGAGGGGCTGGACCCACTCGGACTCGTCACACGCAATGACCACCACGAGGTATAAGAGGAAGACCTCGCCCACATCCAGGAACCCGGAAAGGCGTTCTCCTCTATTCATCTCTCTCCTGAAGATGCTCTTTGAGATGCACACTCCACGACTCAATGTCGCCACCAGAGGTGACCACTGGTTGATGGCCAGCTGCTTGCAGACTTGAGGATTCTGGGAATGCATGACCATGACCCCACGCTTGGCTAAATGATTTAGGCAGAATGGACTGGTGCCCACGGGATAAAAGGGCAATGTGCCCCCGATCAGAGGAGACGGTCTGGCAGGCTCCTTGTCTTTCCTTCTTCCCCTCTTGGATGGAAGGTCCGTGAATAGGCGGTCCTCGTCTTACGCCAGCGGGCGTGTAATCTTTGCTCGACTTACCAGGTAAGGAGTGGTCCTTTTCTGCACAGACGGAATTGTCTTGCGTTGATTGCTTACAGAGGCAAGCACAGTCGGTGAACCGTGGGCTCCTTTGACCTGCGGCTGGTCGCATCATCGTCCATCGTTCTTGGTATGTCCGAGATTTGTGTGTCAGTCACAAACAAGCCCGAAGCGCACGAGAGTAAGCAAAAGTGGTGATGCCCGGCAAGAAGAAAAAGGGAGCCTGGAGGTGGTCTCTGCACCCGAAGCTACATGATGATGTGGCCCGACTTTTGGAGGAGGAGGACCTCTTCTTCGACTTCCGCACGGTAGATGATGCCAAGTCTTGCATCAAGCAGTACGACACCAATGTCATGGGTCGCTTTGTCTGTCATAATCAGAACTGCACTTCGGACGGTTGGTCGAGCAAGAAGGTTGCCGTAACAGTACGCATGTACCCCGGGGCACAGTATAATGTACGTGTTTACCACCAGCGTTGTTTGCAGTGCGACAGCCTGAGCAGGCCCATTCTGGACGACTCCTATGCCGAGAGAACAGCGTACCGATTGAAGAAGTGGTGTGGAATACACGTGGAGACGCCTCACTACTTTAAGAAGGCTAGAGGCCCGCATCACAGCGATCTTTGCGAGGGATGCAGAGACGGCCACTGTAGCGAGCTATCTTGACTTGAGAAGCAATAAACGAGAGTGAAATGCTACGCACATGAGTGATTCTACTGCCAGTCTGCCCCAGCTACAGACAAACTAGAACAAAGTGAAGTGACGTACCAGTATCCATGCCGTTTACAAGGTCCAACCCCTCAAGGGCTACCACCCTGAGGATAACCCCCGGAGGGCCATTTCATGACTATGGTAGTCTACACCCGAAGGGTGTGCTGACACGCCGAAGGTGTGGCTGCGAAGAGCCACGCTGCAAACACGTAGACGGAACCACACACGTTCACAAGAACATCACCCCAGTGAAGCACCACCGAGTGAAACGAGGCAACAACACACAAGAGCCCAAGGGCTACAGATAATAATCACGACCCCAAGAGCGAGTGGAACGAGCGGACCCCTTCCCCCTTATCCCGCAACGAGGCCAGCAGCCGAGTGAGGACACGGGAGCAAGCGAGTGTTAACGAGCGCGCGGACGCCAGTATGTTTGGTATAAGGGGGAACCACGGCACCAGGCACCAGACTGGGGACAAATTCGCCGGTCATTGCACGGGATTAATGCCGTGCGTCATACACAGAATGGACCAGAGGGGAATGCAGTGGCACGTAAGAGCCAATGGAAACGAAGTGTACATGGCCGAGGGATGCAGAGAATCATGCAGCCACCACACAACAGGAGTGGGGGGGGGGACCCACACAGACTCGTCACACGGAGGTGACTACCAAGAGGTATAAGAAGCTGGCTTCGCCCACTTCCACACCCACCAGAAGAGTCCTGCTCTTCTTTCTGAGCAAAGCTCACACTCCGCGCAAGCGCTCCGCTATCCTCGGCTACGCCTCGCAATAAGGGACTGGTACCGACTGACTAGTCCACACGTTCCCGCCGCAGCCCTTGGCCGGGCTTGCGCTCCACTTGCTCCCGTGAGGAGGAATTGGTTGTCAAAGTGGAGGACTGGGTACTACTCCCGAGTGCACTCGTTCTCGCAACAGCCCCCTGGCGGGGCTTCGCTCCTCTTGTTTCCGATGGGGGAACAGTTGTCAAAGTGGATGACTTGGGTGCTTACCCCTTGTGAACGCTCACATCCCATTGCCAGTGGGCATCTTCGTGAGAACAGGTTGGATACTGTGCACGCGCTCCCACTACGCCCTGCGGGCTACGCTCCCGCTTGTTTCCCCTCTTTGAACGGGAGGGAACTTGCACTCCGCGCTCCGGCGCTCCGTCGGGATCCGTTTGCTGGCACCAGGAGGGAAACCATACCTTGGTAGGTCATGAGACAAGGTCGATACTGGGTCGGTAGCGTGCAACCGGCATGCCTCGTTGCTTCGCAGGGCTTACCCTCCTTCACACGGCCAGGCAACAGACGAGCAAGCGCAGCGCACGAGAGACAGACAAGGTGAAAGCGGGAGCGGGAGCGACCGTTGTAACTGACACGATCAGG